CCTATAGTGTTTACACAACGCACTCAGTGCTCATGTTTTGCTCGCGATCACTACGGCTCACTCGTGCTCAAGCTCATATGTAAACGCAGCTTTTTGAAAATTTAATACAAGGCTTAATATTTTTAAGTCTGGATCAACTACCTAAAATTAAAATTWAAAAAATTATGTGTTTCACAATTAATATTATTCTATACATACCGCTTGAACATTAAGAGAATGGTTCCCATGATGATTCACGTATGCTTCTTCATGATTCTTTGGGGCAATAATATTTATATGTGTGCAGTCAATAGCACCAATAGCACCTTCAAACGCTTGTGGGGTATTTGAAAATTTTTCTCGAGCTTTGTCCCTTTCAATTACTGTCATTGGAAAACGAACCCAACGCCTCAATAGTTTTTGATTTATAGCATTAGTTACACTATGTATGCATCTGCTGACCGAGGGCTGACTAACATTTGCAATAAAGTTATCTCCTGTAGCTCGTTGGTAACTACCTTTTGCATAGAAGTTCACCACTACTAATACCTAAGTGTGAAAAACAAAACAACAATATTGTAAAAATAACAAAAACAGTGTATCTTTTATAAACTAATTAATTTTTTGATAATCCACTACATTAGTATCTAATTAAAAATAAACAAGTGTAAAAATTTACCACATTTACAATTGTGTATAACAATATTTAGGTTAAAATATATCTAAAATTGTATAATTACTTGAATTTCAATTGGAAGTCCTGAACTACTTTCACGTTTAAGTGAATCACGAATGCTGTTAGTTAAGTCCATAGCAAGCTCTGGACTAACTCGGAATGTGTTCATGAATTCATTTATTGGTAGATCATATGGATTTTGAGTATCTCGGAGTACTTTTCTCTCCACTCTCCTCTCTAACATCCTAACCCTTTCTTCYAACTCTAACAATTCCCAACCAAGATAATATTTAGCCATAATATTATTGTATGAACAACTTTTAAAACAAAATATGCAAAAAATAACAATAGACAAGAGCAGGTATAAATATTTATAAGTATTTTATTTGTATTTTAAATTTTTAACGATGTAGTATGTACCCAATTACACGGTTATAGATAAATCAAAAGTGTGATAATGATAATTTTATGACATATTTAAGATTCGATAAGCTTAACGGCCAATCCTAACCACCCGATACGATATCGAATATTTTCGATGCTTTAACGATAAAAATCGTTACAAAATTGTTACAGAATCACTCTATTGATAACTTTTCGATAGTAGTCGTTTMTTAGCTTAACGAACCGAAAATTTTCGATAACAGATCTTATCGAGTTACAGAATCGATCTACAGGGGTCATACTTATGTCGCGATTTTTGACACTAGTTGTCCCGTATTGTAATTTATAGTATTTGGTTATTTGTATGATACATAGAATATTATTATTAAAATTATTTTGTGATTGACATTAACTATTGTGTCTTTGTGAGTTTTGAAAATTCGTTGACATTTTTCGCTGTTCAGCAAAATTTTGTTGACTTTACCAATGTTTTTAATCCCGTTCAGGGTCTATTCGCATTGTGCGTGTTGTATGACTTTTAACGTTTACCTTTAATATGATTATTTCTTCTACAGCCGTGGTCTAGAAAGCGATTGGAATTGCGTAGAATTCCATGAGGTACTTTTTGCTTTAATTTCATCATTGGACGTACAATTTAATATCATATTATTTTAACCGTAAATCTTGTAG